TTGAACCATCTGAAAGTGCATGTGATGCAGAGATGGGGAGTAGCTGATGTACAGCTTAAACAGTGTGCTCCAGTATTGCAAGAAAATTCACTTACCTCGCAAATTATGTGTACGTCTCATGTTGCAGATTTTGCAGACACGGAATTGATTCTGAACCCTGATACTTTTGCTTGTAAAGGATCAGATTCTATTCATGACCCTGGTGCAAACATCAGAACTGGTTACCAGGAAACGGAGGAAAATAAGCATGTACCAATTACTAAAAATACCGAGGAACTACAGAGTGATGAACAAACTGTTTCAGATCTTTCTGTGGATGAAAAGTTTGAAAGGACTGAATCTTCAGACTGTGATATGCAAAACAGAAATGCATCTGAGAACTGCAGTGGAAAAGTATTTGACACGGGTATAACTTAATGAAAAGACTGAGACTGAAATTCATTCTTGACTTTAATTTGTATAATTTAAAATTTTTATGGGTTTAATTTGTGTATATAACTTGTATGTAGTGTAAATGTCTGTTTCTTTAGTTATGTTATTTATTTATACCTTATGTTTGTTTTACTATGTTTTGTTTGTATCGAATTAGGCTTCTGACCAAGGGTTGTACTGCCTGGGACGTGCAGTCCTTGGGAGGGGGCAGTGTTACGAAATGTACAGGCACGGTAAGATGGCTTCTCCGCAAAGCAGTTTAAGGGTTGCCACATTTGGCAAGAAATCGCCTATTTGGCGACAAAATTGGCGATATGCCATGGATGGATGCAGAACCTTCTGGAACGAATTTTTACCGGTTTAGCCCAGAATGTTCTCGAACACAAGAAGTGAAGAACACAAAAACAAGAAATGAAACTTTTCTTCTGATTTTTTTTTTTTTTTTTTTTTATAAAATTAGGCTTAGTGATGCAAAATCTCCATCCTGTACGGTGACTGCCTTCCGTCCCGCACGAGCATCTTTAACAAAGGTGCGCCGTCACGAAAATTTTAAACACAAAACTTATGCAAGATTTGTATCTTACCACCTAATCAAGGAACAAAAACAAGAGAGCATAGAATCAGAGTTAGTACTTACATTTTAGCACAACCAATTTGGTGCAGTTCCATGATTTTTTACAGCACAAAAAGGTGATTTGATAACTTTTTGGATGACAACTTACAATGGATATGATTACCTAAAGAACTGATATGTGCAAGGTCACAAGAATATGGTGACTTCATATAAGGTGGTATTGATAATAATTACCCCAGAAATAGGCATAATTCAATTACAACATTAAGTACAAGTCTTTAAGATCACTATGTAATTTAGCTGTAAATCATGCATTTAAAATGAAATTGCAATATTATTAATTCAATATGTATTTGTAATTGCACTATTTATAATTACAATTAAAACAATATAATTACACTGTTATGTACATTAATTAGAGTTACAATAAAATTAAAATTATATATATTAGTACTTGCAGTTTTTTACATCTCAAGACACATTATTTTTATTTATTTTATAAAATATTGTTCTCAAACAAGAGTTGTAGACATGGCCATGCTTCAGAAATTGACAAATGAGATGAACAGAAATAATGTAGATACACACTGTGCTGCCAGTACACAAAATACAAGATCTTAGTTAAACTTTGATATGCCCTCATACACAGCAGTTCCTTAGAATACTCTCATTTAGCAAAGCATGAAATCTTTATCTTTAAACTGAAACTATCTGTTAAAGACTGAACAAAGTTATTTATTGTAGTTATTCTATAGTTAAAACTACAGGTATAATTGTAATTATAATATAATGTCATTTAGAATTACAATATAAATGCAAAAGAACTTACATTTGTGGCTTAGCAATAACCCAGTAGATCAGACCTTTCTTAATAGTGGTAGTTCAAATTCCATCTAACAATTTGGATTTTTAGGTATCTTTATAGTTTTACAAATGTGCAATGTAAACTAGTTTCCCTCAGAAAATCTTCCATGAAGGCATCCATTCTGTTAGATGCTTTGCCACATTCAATTAAACAAACAGCCAATTCATACTTTTGCATAACAAATTTACATGTATTTATTATAATCAGAAATATTTTCTGCATCAGCAATCTTCTTGTAGCAAAACTTATTTTAATATTTACTGCGTATTAGTTTTTATTAAATAAATGCCTAATTAACAGTGAATAGCATTACTATAACTTGCAATTTGCATCATAATTAAGCTGAATAGTCTCAGATAGAAAATGCCATCTTTCTGCCAGTAGTTGTCATCTTCAGACATGAAAAATTGTGCAAATGCATCCATTTACTTTCAAAAAAAGAATTATTTTAATTATTTATTGAAATATTTGTATTTAATAAAGACCCATTTCACAGTTAATATCATTACTGCAACCTGGAGTTCACTAAATAATTATGCAGGAAGATCTCAGATGGAATGCATAGTCAGTAAGTCCATTTGTCTGCAACACCCACCAGCATGATTGCAAACATTAATAAGTCTACCTGAGTTCAAATTTCAGTGAACAGTTTGGCTAGATGGGCCTTTTGTGGATATCCCCACATACAGTCTGAATATGAGTCAGTTTCCCTTAAAAAGTCTTTTTCAAAAACATCTCTTTTTAGGCAGATAACCTTTGTGAGCTTTGTATAATCTAAATAACCTAACCTTCTGCTGGAATAGTTATCTACAGGCATTTAACAAAATTGTTTGTTTAGTTTTATCTGAAGCTGAGGAAAACAGCTCATGCAGGTTCACTCACCTGTAAGTAATGCTTAATAACCATTTATTGAAAATATGTTCTGAGTTTAGAAAAGAACTAATTCATAATCAATACTGTTACTGAAAATTTTAGTACACATAGCAATAAAGCAGGATGATTATAGATCAGAATCAGCAGGATTTCTACCACCTACAATGATGAGGAATTCAGCTGGATAAGATTATAAAAATTAGTTTAGCTCTATTATTGGATCCCTTTGCTGATATGCAAAGCTTTCATGATTCATTTTCTGTGTAATAGCCACCCAAAAAAGCAGTTGTCCTTCAATCCTCCATGAAGGCATCCCTTTCCATAAGTGTACAGTTCTTTGTTTGCTTTGCTTTAAATGAATAATTCAAATTCACAAGTCTGTTGATGAGCATCATTAACACACATATTTATTTAGCAAACTTATGAGTATTTAGTTCTATATGAAATAACCAAAATTAGTTCCTGTAAATAAATTCTCTGTTAACTATATTTCTTTCACATATTTAGTGAAAAGATGTGTAGTACATGTATTTAACAATGGATTAGTTCATAATTTATGATGCTATTAGTATAAACTGCAGGATGTGCAGAAGTTAAGCAGAATGATTCCAAACTGTTTTTCTTACAGGTTTATGCCACTGTATTATTTAACAACTGACCAAAATGGTGAACCATTATCATCATTTACTGCAATTTTCACTTATCATCACACTTTCTCTAGGCTATGTAATTCAAATTAACAAGGGCAATTACTTTCCTAATTATATAATTTAATTACTTAATAGAATAGCTTTTACACTATAATTATAATTAGATCTCCAAATTACAATGTAAATGTAATTACACAGTATCTGCATAATCTAGTTACAATGATATTTTGTCCAGTATGCATGAAACTGTGTGCTGACTTCATCAGCATGGCCCAGCTTTTACAGTACATCATAACTGGAAATTAAACATCATTCTTCCAACATGATCCAGAAACTATAAACACCAAAGCACATTAGAATCAAAACTGAAAATTTTTGTTCCTAAATGTCAAAAGAGAATGTTGGTTACCTGTTTCAACACTCAAGGTCATAAAGAATCCATACAATAAGACCAAACAGTAAATGGAGATTTATACTGCAAGGTTATTTTTTGGCTCATGTGCTTTATTTATTGCTTGTGGACACAATTCCCAGACCAGGATCTAGCTTTCTTTAATGCAAGACTTCAAGCAGGTCCTGACCAATTGTTAATTTAACCGAGTTTTACCATCCTTCATCTCCTGTTCTTGTACTATCATACTTCTTTCCTTCTCCCAAAAGGATACAGATATTTCACATGTCTAAGCTGCTGTAATGAGATAATTAAAAACAGTACAGACAAGGGACTTCTCCAGATGTTTCCAACAGTGATGTGAAAATAGTCAGAACTGCACTGTATCAGAACAGGGATTACTTTGAAAGAGTATGGCTTTCAAACAAGATATAAAGATATCTTATATCTTGATATAAGATATATTTATTGAAATATTTTACATGACCACATTTGATCATTCAATGGACATTTTGGTCACACTTTGTAATTTAGCACATGGGTTGAACAGATGAAATATTAGAAATTTGCTCCAAGTTCAACTTTAGTGTTTGAATTAAAAACCAAACCTCTTTAAAACATTCTTCAAGAAGGCAGAGAGTGCTAGCCAGTCATGCCATAATCTTATTAAATTGGTGATTCTTCTTATAAATTATGCATTATCCTTATAAATATGATCTTAACCAGATTTGCATTTTTTAAAAATCTGGATAAAAGAATATTTACTTACAGTTGAAAGATGATTTGATTTTAATTTGTAAGCAGAAAAATCGTCATGAAAGTAATGTTAATATAATTAATTTTCAGGGGTGTTTTCTCCCTCAAGAGACTTTCCAATTTCAAAACAAAGATTGGAGTAACTAAACCAAAATAACTTTTATTATAACCTTATTGAAAGATATATTAAAGCCAAGGGATAAGACTACATATATTTTAAGAAATGGCAAATTTAAAATTATGTGCAATAAAAAAATATCCACAAAATTAAATGTGGATTAAATATATGAAATTTCTATTTACTTCTACATACCTTAATTAACATTCTAATATAATTCTATGGAATTTTATACTAAAATACTCAATAAAACACTTATAGGCATTTAAAGGATAGCATTTGTAAATAAATCTAGGTTTTCTTTTACATATGAAACATTACACAAGACTAAAATATTTTACCTCTAATCCACCTCCAAGGCATGTACCCATAATTGCAGCTACTACTGGTTTTTTACTGTTTTCTATTTCCAATAACAGCTCTTTTCCCTGTTTAGATAAACTAGTTATCTCTTCCTTTGACTTGCATGCTTGCAACATACTAGAAATGCCAAAATTCATGCATATAAATCAAGCACATATTTCCATAAAAAGAAGACAAAAACATCTAATGAGCAACACTTACTAGACAACTGCACAATTATTTCATATCTGCAGGATCCTTGGCATAATAGCAAGTTCAAATACAGAGTATGGATAGGAATATATTTGCATAATGTCAATCTTCTACTGATATAACAACTCAGTAATTTAAACTCCTTATAATGACCTTCTTGGATTCATAATGAGATATCATAAACCAAGCCGTCGCACATACCCCCTTTTTTTAATACCATAGATTATGGTTTAAAAAAAAATCCAAAGGCAACCAGCTCCAAAGGTTCGAATCTGGACCCAGGCTCATGCCATGCCCGATCGGTGTCATCGTGCAAATCTCTAGCTAGCGCCTTTATGCAGTGACGATATTAAAGGGAAACTGCTTAATAGTTAACACTTAAAATGAAGTATTATTCACATAACAATATTAGAAACCAAATAAATGTACTTTTGTCAAATCTTGCCAAACAACAAAAGAGTTAAAAGGGATTAGTTGCTAACTTCTGCTGAAACAAATTCTGTTTATTGTTTTCATTGCAAAATTTTTAACAATTTCAGCAGCATAAAGTTGAGTAGTTCTGAATTTAATGACTGGAGTCCCTTAAATGAGCACTTAAAAGTTCACGGAAAAATAAAATGAATTTCCCGAATTTACACCTTTGGTCCGATTTCTTAAAATGATTTAGAAAGAATAAAACTGTTGATTTGGAATTTCAAAATTTAAAAAAAAAAAAAAGCAAAGCATTGGCACGATGTTATTGAAAGAATTATCTATGCCATTCAGTTTTTAGCCAACCAAAACTTAGCTTTCCATGGTTCCAGTAACAAATTATTCAAAAGAAATAATAATTTTTTAAAGTGTATAGAAATGATCGCAAAATTTGACCCTAACATGTATGTAATATTAATAAAATTCAACAGGGTTCGTAGCCACATTTTAATTAAAAAAAAGCATATAAGCATTTTCAAGCATATTTTAAGGAAAAAAAAGCACTGTCTAATTACATTATACACAACTGCATAACCTTAAACGAAATAGACTTGTAATTTAAAAATGTGCAATGCAATACTTATTAAGAATAAAGCATACCTCAACCATGAAAAACAATTTTTTTTTTTTTTTTTTTTTTTTTTAATTTTAAATGACGTTCAATTACAGAATTAGTTTACAATGAGGAAAAAAAAAAACTATGCAGAACTAAACTATATTACAGATTTAACGATGAAATTTCAGTTCAAAATAGAAAAAAATAATAATAAGCAATATTAATTGTATTACCTAATAATTGGCACCTAATAATAAACAATTTATTTTTCCACTCATAAATTTAATAATTTAACTTAAATCAAAATCTGAACATTTTCTAAATTTTCATTGCATAATAGTTTTCCCTTCACATATATCCAAGCAAAGTAATTAAGTAAAAAAGAGGCACATTTCTGAAATCAGAGACTGGGAAATTGCTCATGCAGTCATCCTTTAACAGTAAAGCTTAATAAACCAGCATACTCGGAAATTGCCGAATATTCCGGATAGTAGAAAAAGAGGAGGGGGGAGATGTAGCTGTTCTTTAGATTTCTCAGCTAAATAAATGATTTGAATTTCGATATGTGCATCATATAAAATAGACCAACGGAACTCAGAAATATTCTGGTTAGAAAGCACAGTAAAACTCTTAAGCGTCATAAAAATCTCAGACTGAACATCAAAATTAATTATCTCTGGAAAATACCGCAAACGTTATTGCGCATACGTGCGGCGTAATTCTTCCACATGTGATATTACGCAATTGGAATGCAACAGTGCCGGGATTCGAAGAATAAAGACTAAATAAAGGAAAGAAAGGACTTACTAATCTGGATGTTTCTAATGCTAATTTTCAACGGACTGCATTCAATTTCCGAATAGAATCAATCTTTGCTTGGGTTGGATAGACCGGAAAACTTTTAGTCCTATTCAATCCAGATTGGACATGACAAAAAAAAAAAAAAGGTCTGCCTGCTTCATATTAGAGATATTGCGGAGAATGGGGATACTCCCAACCTCTGTATTGTAAATGTTTGGGAAAAAAAATTTTTGACTATTCGATTTCCTTTTATTTAAGCCATTCCAAAATATATTCCTTAGAAGCTAATCTGTGTAAAAACAAACCCATTTTGGAAGTTAATCATACTTAAGCGTTACTGCCACTATATTATTAAAATATCATGCAATGCTCATAAATAAGCATAATGATTATAATAAACACTATATTGAACTTACCGCGAACGAGAATGCAATTATTAAAACTGATAGAAATCAACGTGGTAGTATATGGTGGGAGGAAAAGCATAACCGAATGGTACCGGAATTTTCTACCAGTTTTCGCAATTCTGTGACCAACGTAGAACTACGTTCACCTGTCTGTACTCTCGGGCCACCATAGGGTTTACCTTAATGCCGAGAAAGGGGGAAATCATTTCTGGGAGTCTGATTCACTATCTGTTTTCGCAATTCTGTGACCAATAGAACGGCATGCACCTGTCTGTACTTGTGAGCCTCAAAGGTTATGTTAATGCACAGAAAGGAACAAAAAGCTTTTTCTGGGAGTATGATTCACCATCTGACATTCTAAATAAGGAAGAAAAGTTATTTATTTAGTTTTGGTTTTGGTACGGGGAAAAAATGTGCGTTCGTTAAAAAAAAAAAAGCACTAAAAGCAAAAAATAGCACTAAAAAAAAAGTGCTTTAGAGAAAAAGTAAGCACCTATAAAGGCTTTTATATTTTATTTTCAAATATAAGGACTTATACGCCTTGTAAACCGTACGAACCCTGTTTCAAAGTAAAAAATTGCTCATTATCTTGGAGATAAAATTAAAAATGAACCACTAACTTCTCATTAATTAGAAACAATTAGGAAATAATATAAAATAAATTATTTTAAATAATGTCAAACAAGCAAAGTATTTTTCTACATTACTTGGTTGTACTCCTGATACCAGCTATCAAGAGCAGATATCAGATTGTATGAGGTATCTTAATTTAGAAAATACAGACATGAATTTTAAAGAAAGGTTTTTTAGTATTTAGTGTTACAATAGATAAGACTGGTGAAGAAATAACAACATTTTTATTAAAGACTTAAGAGGAAAATGTTTTAGATAATAGTAATTTACACGGCCAAAGACACAACAATGGTTCGAACATAAGAGGTAAACAAATGCGTCTATGGCACCGGTGTCTACCTTTACATACGCATCAGCATCACATATTTTCACGTTCAAGTAAGACAAACTCCTGCCCTGGTTATGACCTTCCAGTCAAATAAGAGAGTATGCTAGAAGGAAGGGGCACTCAAACCTGGCAAGCTTAAGCCTACCTTAACACAGTTAAATGCTTCAACCCCTAGGGGCGATCCAAGAGGCCGCTAACCTATCGGTTGAGCCGACGAGCTAAGACTGAATTGACAGATTCTCAGGAACTCGCATTCCCCATCCCAGTCCTGAAGGGATGGTAAAGACATCTGCCATCAACAGGGACCTAACCCCGGACTGAAGAATGAAATCACTTAAACACTGCGAGACAGACCAGGCCACCAATCCGGCCTGTTAACACTACGTCAAGGTATACAGATGTCGACTTTAGGCGCCCCCAGAGAGAAACAAGGAAGGATATGAATATGCAGTTTTGAGGCTACAGGCGCCTACTGGAAACCTCGAGCAGTTTAAAGGCTCGCTGAATTCGCTATCCAAACTGGCGGAGGTGTTTCGCCGTGAAAAATCATGAGTATCTGACTATATAGCTCCACCAAAACTAACGGAACGGACAAACCAGTACCGTATGGTCCCTGTCGAGCCTAAACCAGCCATCGCTAGCGATGACTCCAGTCCTGTGAAGACTGATTTTAAACAACCCTGGCAGAGACTGCCTAGATTCAAATCCTAATCAGTAGCTTCCCAAGTTTTACCTGAGTCGACCCCCAGGGGTGCATTCAAATAAGACTAAGAATTTTCCTGTTCGTAGGAAGTGAGATGAACTGCTTGTTTTAATGAGTGCATGGCGGCTTTTTGACTCGATGCCATCGTGCGGCGCATGACCCTACACCTATTGTCGGCGTGGGACTGCCTGGAACTCTCACATACGGGTCGAGTATGCTACTATTACACCACAAAGGCATGCCAAAAGGAATGAAGAAAATACCTTATAGCCTTAATAAAACAGATTAACTTAAAACTGTCTTCTAACACAGTTTTGCCTTATTTTCCCAAATAAAGGTCAAGTTTATATTAATTTAATACATCATATTTCAATAGATCTCCAAAACTATTAAGAATGTCATAAACACATGCAAAGGCCTAGTATGTTGATGTATTTTGATATGAATATATTTTGATATGAACTGGTATGGTCTTTGGCTTTGATGCAGCACCAGATGCACAGTGGAAAGACAGCAAGAAGCACTATAGTTATACTACTTTAAACCCCTTTTTCGATTCTAAGATTAGGACAGAAGTCCATTCAGTCATTTTGTGTCCAAATGTCAGTCTTGAGATAAGTGATAGACGATTGCCATATGTAATTTACAAATTGGGATTTCCAACTAAAGTATGAAATATGCAGTTCAATATTTTTTTTTTTTTTAAATCTTTTTTCAAAAATCTAGGAGGACCGCAGACTGAGAAATGCTGTACTAAAACAATAAAAAGCAGCTACAACCACATCAATTAAAAATGCATCTTTGTTCTCTAAGATGAAAAAACAGCTGCTCACAGACAGTGAGATAAAAAGCCCTAATTGGAAAAACAGCATTAATCTATGTTAAAAGGCATTAATTCTCTTTTTAATGGATCTAAAAACAAAACAGACTTCAACTTTAAAAATGTTAATTATCTTCAAGAAGCAGAAGTGAAGCATTTATAACATAAGTAAGAATAGAATTAACAAATGATATGGAAAATATATTTTCTTTTTACAACTGTATAAATAAAAGAAAATTAAGAACAATTAACAATTTGTATGGAAATGGTATTTTATGATTTTAGCATAAGAGAATAATTTCTTAAAATTCTTCCAGTGAAAGAATGTACTGAGGTGATGTACTTTCAACTTTAAAAATATTTTAATAAAAAATACTACTGTAAAAGTTAAATTCGTCATAACAGATGGTGTACGGGCAGCAACTAGTAATACTGGATTTATCACCCTCTGTAGACAGGTTTCAAAGTTTCTTAATTTTATTGCATACCATTGTATTATATATTAGATAAACTCTGTGATAAAACTTTGTTTTGAAAATGTACTTTCAATTGTAGTAAAAATTATTAAGTTCGTAATAAAATAAGGTACACTGCAACATGGATTATTTAAATTAGTTCGAAAGATACTGTCTATTGACGTCAAGCTGATACCTCTTGATGCTTCTGCACGTGGGAAAGAAACTATCTATTTGCGAAAGAGGGTCGGCAGTTTTTCCAAGATGCACTGGTTTACTTAATGTTTAGCTTTTTTTTTTTTTTTTTTTTTTTAATACAAATGTGACTTGCAACCAAAAATTAAAATATATATATATATAATATTTCATTTCATCTTCTCCTCAAAATAGGAAACAAGAAGGTTCTTGTAGTGACTGTAAAGACACTCATTTCCAGACTTTATTTATATACTCAGGAGATAGTTGAACAAAGATAAAATGTTGGGCAGTTTGTCATTTTTTATAAAAAAGTTTATACTGATGTGGAGAATTTTATGAGCAGCTAGAAAATAAAGATTAATTAATCAGTTTTAGCTGATACAAGACTGGAGTTTAAAAGAGCAATCTAAAATTGCAAGGAAACTGTCACATCACTAATATAATGAATTCAATAAATGCATTCAAATCTCTAGCATTATTGAAATCGTGTTTGATAAAAAAAATCACTATCACAGCCTAGAATTAGAAATAATAAACTTGCAAAATTATCCTATTTTGAAGGCACATTATGTTTTGCGACTTGGTCTATAGAATAGTTAACTTATTTTGAGAAAAATCTGCCCTGAAGAAATATAGAAGTTGTTCAACCACATAAACCAGCAAGTTTTTTTTTTTTTTTTTTCAGATAAAAAATATTAAAACAATGTTTATTGATACAAATCTTGATTACAATATTAGCAAAATTTTAGGGTCAAGTTTTAAATTTAATTTAAGGGTACTTTTCTGGTTGGCCGGCGGAAATCTTGCCAAGCGACTTATTGGCGACACATGCATAACACATAAAAATTGTAACAATTTAGTTCTAGAATTTTTATTTTGAAGGAAACTTTAATTGTTTAAAATTTGTAAAAAAATAAATAAAGAGAAAATTTTAAAAAGGCATTAATTTAAGAATTCTATGCTTTCATGGACAATATCCTGATTCCCGTTTCATATCACGTGACCCCAAGTGATCTCATCTCACGTAAACTATGCACAAATTTAATTCCTCAGTAATTATCTACATTAAAGTTCAAGTAAATCTAATTTGGAATACCATTTTAAATGCAAGAATTATTTCAATTTTAGCTTACTCAGAATTATTAAAACCATAGTGCTGACTTCGTAGTGCAGTCTCATTAAAACTGTGAATTTAACCTGATTTCACTTTTCTATATTTTTCGTTCGGGAGCGTGTGATTGCATCTTAATTGACTTAATTACCACAATGGCTTTAGGGCATAATTGAAATTTGGTAAAAAATTCGACGCAACTGTATGCCATATTGAAAGAACAACAATCTGATAAGCAATGGCTGCGACTTGTTAAAAGAGTGTAAAAGGTTACAGCGAGGATATTCTGTGGCATCGTTGTACATTTTGGCGACTTCGTCGCTTGCACGCAAAATGAAAATACCAATTTAAGATATACAATTAATTTTAATCTGATGTTAGATTTGCAAATACTTAGATTTTATTTCTGGTTTACATCAAGTACAATTTTTGTTCAACAGAGAATTGAAATTTGCTTATGGATATACATATTTTAATTAGTATTTTCCAAACAACTATGAACCCCATGGCTTTTCAAATTTTATTCAGCCCCAAGTACATAATGTGCTGACTCTGATTACAAAATTCATGAAAAATGACAGAATTATAAAGTTAATAAAAAAAAAACTAATAGAAAAAACCAATCTCTGCCCCTCAATGACTCCTTGTTTCCTGATTAAACAATGCTAGTACACTAGGATCAACCACGTTTCATGACTTGCTCCACTTCTGCTGTAACCTCTCGTGACAATGTATTAACCTAAAAATAAAATTAACCACTTTATATTTTGTAATTAATATGAGATAATCCCTAACTTAGAGCAAAAAATTATTATTTTCCAAACTCAACTGATGAAAAATATTAAAAAGCACATATACAGAACACTATAAATAACAATAACAGATACATATTATCCTGCCAACCTAAAAATGTAACCAAGCATGATTTTGCACCAATTATAGATAAGCCAAAACATCCCAATACAATTATAGCATCCGCACTTTTTTTTATGTAACCCCAAATAATTCTCGATATGCCATATTTTTTTTTTAAAAACAATCATATAAATGAAATGTTATAGTGTTATTTTTCCCCTGAATTTTGAAAAAAAAGGGGGGTTAAGGACTACAGAATCCCATTCATAACGAAACTCTGGTTTATTTACAGCCAGTCAAAATAATTAACATCTCTTGAAAGGAGAAAAAACAACTGGATACGAAATAATTAACATCTCTTGAAAGACAGAAAAACAGATGGAATACGCCCGACTGAAACAATCATGTAGAAAGGTTTTACTCACAGCCATCTAAACAGAACTTTTGGCAAAATCGAGAGCCTAATAAAATAATAGAAACTGGCAAAAGCCTTTTTATGAAGCTAAAAAATGAAGTAGGTCAAATACTTTTGCAGCACTTGCTATTTGGTGGATTGTAGAGATGCTGACAAATGTTTTACTGCAAGAATTGCAGATAGAAATGTAACTCTGAATTCCATGTGAACAAGTGGCACAGCAGGATCTCTGACAACTTTCATGGTCAACAGGATAATAAGTAAGTATCCAATAATAATAAAACAAAACTTTGCACATACATTTTATAAAAGATACAAATTTTCATACAGGGTTTGTTTGTAAAGTAATGAATCTAGATGGCATGTGCTTTCCGGCGGTGAGATTTGTGGTGGGGGTTAAGCTAGGCAACACACTGGATGGCAGTTACATCTGAGCTTTGATACAGTGAGGATCATGCATGGTGCAAAAGCTGTTTTTGAGTTTTTATCACCATCAAAAACGGAGTGTTTGCTGGATCAGCACTACATGATTAAATTTTGCGTTTGCCTGGACAAAACTGATTCCAAGACACTTGCCTTCGTTAAGGAGGTTTACATAGATGATGCTCTGTCAAGGGTCAAAGGCCCAGGCTTTCCAGTAGTTCAGAAAGTTCCAGAATTGGCCAGGAGACCGTTGAAGACTTGGAACGATCTAGGTGGCCTTCAACAAGTGGTTTGGACAAAAATTTGGCCAAAGTAAAATATCTCCTGGACCCCAACCATCATTTGTAAGATTAATCACTGAAGATCTCACTCAACACATGCAAAACAAGTTTACAAAAATATTTGAGAAAATTTTAACTTGTGGAAGGTTTGTGTTAAATTGGTGCCAAAAGTGTTGGGTGAGGAAAAAAAGACGATGTAATAACAGGCGACAAATCATGGGTGTTCGAGTACAACTCCCAAACAAAGCACCAAGTTCAGAGAGGCACACCTCGAACTCCACGTGCTCCAAAAAAGCGAGATCTTCAAAGTCAAAGGTAAAGGCAATGTCTATTGTCTTTTTCTGACAAGAATAGAGTGGTTCACAATGAATTTTTACCTCCAAGACTAATCGACAATTCTATTTTCTACAAAGAAGGCCTTGTATGCTTGCACACACCCATCGGAAACGACTGGAGATTGCCAATTGCTGGAAGTACCACCACGGCAATGCTTCAGCCTGAAGTAGATATTTTATGTTAATCTTTTACCAGTATTAAGCTTCTAACTCTTTAAATGAATAAAATTAGATGACAAGATGACTTCAGAAAAAAGAACAAACACTACTCTTATTTTTCATCAAATCAAATAATGTACCAGTTGTTGCCATCTAACGAAAATTAAAACTTAGAGAAATTAGAGATAAGATGAAGAGGATACTATAAGCCCATACAGCCTTCGTTGTAACAACCCACTTGGTCTACATAGGAGCTGTAATTTTGTCTCCCACAGTACAGCCCTGATGTGAGCCCGGCAGACATTTTATTCCCAAAGCTCAAGAGAAGCCTGAAAGATTGAAGGTGTTCCTGTCATCCAATAGGCTGTCACACACTCTCTGAAAAAAGTTATGGTTGCAGCATAGAAATCACATTAACGACAGTATATCAATGACCAAGGAGACTATTTTGAAGAATTTTAACAATATGTACCAATTGGATCAATTCATTCTTATAACGTGGAATTTTTATAGCTTTTTACCAGACCCAGTCTCATTACTCAAGCCTAATCTGCAGGGTTCGTCCAGTGGACAAACCCTGCAGATTAGTCTTGTCTCTTGAAATTATACACCATCAAATATGGAAAAATGGAATTTGACTTTCCTTCTTCATGGAAATCCTTTAAAATATAAGTTTCCTACTCCTTGATCTATTAGTTAACATTAACAACTTACTTAGCCAGCACTAACTGGCTAAAGTCACAAAATCTTATTACTTCAACCTGTGTTTTGTTTCCAGCAACAGATGTTCAAACTGGCTACGGGAAGTTTTTCACATATAATCTAAATGGAGTTTTCTTTGCGAGTCCTCAACAAAAACGTCTCCTATGACAAATAACACTAGTATACTTTGTTGCAATTAACTAATCCAATCTAATTTTTGGTTAGCACGACTCTGCAAAGAATTGGGGTGCCCTTTGATTGGCAAAAAATTTTTAATTTTGATGATGAAACTTATTTTTGATTATCATAATAGTTTTAATTTGGTTTTAGCTTCCACTGATGTCACCTTACGGTTACTGTAACTTTTTTCAACCTTACATAGCGTATCATTATCGCTTTTTTAAATGTAAATTTTATTGGTTGTCTTTTTTACTGTATGCATGGTAATGGGTGTATTTTCAAATTTTAACCACCATTTCGTTTTACTGTTAGTAGCCCACTTGATATTTAGCGCTATATTTCTCCATTATCTAGCAAAGTAGAATGTCTGGAAAAATTCATATGCTTTTTTTTTTTTAAATCGAGCAAAAGAATGCTATTATTGATTGGTGTATACATTGAGATTTGATTAGTTCTCTGTATGTTTGTCCTGTTTGTATGAAAGATATGTGTTTGATCAAAAGGAAGAATATGCTGGATGGCTAAAAATGGGTTTGTCATGAAAAAGATGTGAATGTTCATGATTGTAAGAGGTCTGGGAGGAAAGGTACATGATTTGAAGACAGTAATACGAGTATGATTTAGCTTTTAATGTTTTCGCGATTGTGGGTGTATGAAGCTGGTAGGAATCTGCTTATTTATAAATGAGCTGAACGTGAAATTGAGTAATACTGTGTTTGATTGGCATAATTTTTGTAAAGAAGTGTCTAAGGATGTATGTGTGAAAAAGCATGAGATGGTTGGAGGTCCTGGTATGGTTGTGGAGATTGACGAAAGCAAGTTTGGTAAGAGGAAGTATAGTAGAGGTAGATGAGTGAATGGAAAATGGGTGTTTGGTGGGACTGAAAGGGAGAGGGAAAGTTTTTTTTTTTTTTTTTTTTTTTTTAAGGTTGTGGAAGATCGAATGAAAGAGACTGTTGGAGGTAATCAAGCGAAAAATTCTGCCTAGGATGACAATTATCTCAGATTTCTAGAAATTTTACGATTGTTTGAACAATGAAGGTTTCCAGCATTTATATGTTCGGGTGGGAATTCTGAAGCACAGTGTTTGGCGATCGTCGGAAGATATTTTTTACTCATATTTTGTGAAATTTACGAGGAGAAGGTACTACTGAAATGAGACGGAAGCAGATCCGTTCTGATACCTTTCGAATTGCATCAAAGATCTACATGTGCCACAGTTTTCCAACAATGCTGAAGACATGTCACAATAATGATCTAGATAAGTTATATTTTTTATGAATTGTAAACTATATCATTAGTATTATATGAATTTTATTCTTACTTTTCTATCATCTTATACATTATTTTAGTAAAAACATGTTTTGATATCTTCAATTATGTATTGCATGTTGTTATTCTTAAAAATATTAACATTCTTATAATGTGGAATATCAGTACAAATGATTTCAGACGGTGTCTTCTGATTATAGCTGTTAAATATTTTTTAAATTGACGATACTTTTTATTTTGGTTTTGTGCAGCGGCCATCTTGGAATGGTGCCTTCTTGGTGCAGATCTTGGCATAAAAAAAAAAAAAAAAAAAGAACAAGAGGACACGAATTGTAAACTTTTATCAAGATTAATTAGATAATATTTCAGAAACAATGGTTTCTCACTTTTACCTTCTTTGCCGACGGCGCACCTTTGTTTAAGACGCTCGTGTGGGACGGAAGGGAATAGGCAGTCACTTAAGGAAGAGGTTTTGACATCGCTAGCCTAATTTTATAAAAAAAAGTTTCGCTTCTAGCTCATAATTTTGTTTCCTTTTAGATTATTACTTGAGCTCTTATATATGTTAAAATTAGCACTTAATAACGTTTTTTTTTTCTTTATTTTACATGAAAATATACTTAAAAAATTGCCTGTTAAAATAATTTTTGGAAAGCGCTATCAAATTATTCCAAAGTTTAATTGATAAAATTCCTCAATACAGTCTAAAATTAATAAAACAACACAATAAAGACTATTTACAGTAAGAAGTAACAAAATTTAAACTGAAGACTGTGGTAAATCTTGAAGCACGGAGAAATGTCACTTTTTAAATCTTTAGAAAGAGAATCATCACTCTCATTTACGTTAGTTAAATGGTTCATTAGCCATATGAGGATTCTTCCTCTGATAAATAGCGCCTTCGCGCCATAATAGACTAGAGCTGAGACTTCCCGAAATAAAAAGAGGGAATATATCTAAAGTCAATGCAAAACTGACTGGGCTGTCTAGTAACCCTAAAGACCGTATGTAGTAGAGAAAAATATAGAATTAAAATGGAATTGGATATAAATCAAACACGCAAATATTTATATTAGCACGTGGCGATTCAAAGAGCCCACTTCTGTTTACGCGGTCG